AAGTGTAAACAATAATTTTATTTTTAAAATAAAATTTTGAAATAAGCAATAAAGAAATGTATAAATTGCAATTTAATATCATATTTATGACATTTAATACTTTACATATATAAATATATAAATATTATGTGGCTTTTTAATTTTAAAATTTGAAAAATCTAAGAATTAACATGTGGATATTATTTATTTCAAAAATATCACAAAATGACAAATGTCAAAACTCATGAGAGATTGACATGTGGCAAAATAGATCTTCATTTCTTATATATATATATATATATATATATATTATTTCTCTGTCTCTGATATAATATTGAATGTGAATGAAAATTTAGGGCTATGACACGGTAGTAGGGGAAAGAGGGGTGCAAAATAGATCTTCATTTCTTATAGTTGATATATATATATATATATATATATATTGTCTCTGTCTCTGATATAATATTGAATGTGAATGAAAATTTAGGGCTATGACACGGTAGTAGGGGAAAGAGGGGTGCAGATGTCGGGTGGGCAGAAGCAGAGAGTGGCGATTGCAAGGGCTATTGTGAAAAGTCCAAAGATACTATTGTTGGATGAGGCTACAAGTGCACTGGATGCAGAGTCGGAAAGGGTGGTTCAAGATGCGTTGGACAGAGTGATGGTCAACAGGACCACGGTCGTGGTTGCTCATAGGTTGTCCACCATCAAGGGAGCTGATGTCATTGCGGTGGTCAAGAATGGAGTCATTGTTGAGAAAGGGAAGCATGAAAAACTAATTAATATCAAGGATGGATTCTATGCATCTTTAGTTGCTCTTCACATGACCGCTTCCACTTAAATTTATATTTTGAGCTATTAACCAATTGAATTAAATTGTATTCCATTTTGTTTTTTGTAATATCCAAATATGAAGTTTGTAAAGTTTTGAAGAAAATAGAATGAACAACTGCTTTGTTGAAAACATGTCTTGAAGATTAGAATCATTTTTTGTAATATCCAAAGTATCAACAAATAATCAGGTATTTCATTTCCTTTAGCCAAAATTATTCTGTCCTGTTGGATATTACAGTTTGGTGGTTGACTACATGTAGTTTTCAAACATATTATTAGTATTAACAAAATGAATAACATAAAATAAAAGAGATTGAGAGTCATAATAACCTCTTCACAATCACAATCACATCCTCCTTATTCTTATGACTTGTGAGCCAAACCAACATGATAAAAATAGAATTCCCTTTTTCCTACACGCTAGCTACTCACTCTAAACCTAAAAGCTGTGTCATCTTGTTCACGTACCAAAAGAAAGTGACAAAACCAGTGTAGACCTCCTCTGTCTTTCTAAAAATACAAGCAACTGAAACTGAACTTCATGTCCCTTTTTCCAGATATCAACTTCCCACCCACCATCGTAAGTATGTCATGTCAAACTTCCCTTCCTACATAATTTGATTTCCATCACCATGTATACTGAATGTTAATAAAATAAAGTTGTCCTATCATTCACATAAGATGAGGTTGATATTTATTTTGTAAAGAATATTTGTTGTTAGTATTTTCATACAACAAAGTGATAAGCATGAATTCACCAACTATATATCTTGTGTCATTTGGAAATAAAAGATTATTTATGAGGGGAGGGGAGGGGATGACATACCGACTTTATTCTCTCTAAGAAGGATAAGGAAGCATCTTGCAATTAAAACTATCATGCAAAAGCTGGTTGATAGCGTCCCTGAATTTGAGATAGTCGTCAATGGTGTTGTAAACCTGATGAGAAATCCTAGCATAGCCGGTGATAAAATCAGCACCACCACCCTCGACCTCCTCTGCTGCTGCTGCTGTGTCTTTCAATGGCTGGTAGTGTATAGGAACTTCCACCTTAAATTGGTCTCTCAGATGATTTCTTAACCTAGAAGCATCACCATCGCTTAAAACCCCCAAAGAAGAAGGCAGGCCGACCATGGCCATGCTAGGACACATTTCAGGAGGCGATCCCAGGCTGGTCCCCCAAGCCTTAGCCAGCATCTCTGCCATTTCAACAACAGCTTCATGATTCCTATCCCTAATTCCATCCATCCCCCCTTCAAACCTGTTGATGAAATCTATAACCTCCGGGACAAGCAGCTGAGAGCTGTAATCCCGTGTACCTATCCAGGCACTCTCTATGGCGAGTCCATTTCCATATTCATGCGACACCACAGGGTGGTGCAGCTCCGAGGAGGATAAAGAAGATTTCCGGCAGTAAAGAAGAGCCACGGATGGTGGGCAGAAAAACCACTTGTGTAAGTTACTGACATAGAAATCAGCCCCTATATCCTTCACATCAACCGAGACACTACCAACCGCATGGGCAGCATCCACAAACACCTGGCTCACTCCTTCTTCCCTGCAAATCTTTACCAACTCACGAACTGGAATTATGAGGGAGGGCATGGAGGTTATGTGATCAATTATGGCTAACCTAACTTTCCTACCGTTGGCCTTGCCCCTTGCCAAACCCTTTCTAAATTCGGAGATTATTTCTTCGTTGGACTTGATAGGGAAAGGAAGATGTACCACGATGACGGAGCCACCTGCACGGGTCACATAAGCCTCGATGGATTTCTTCACGGCTTGGAAAGCACAGTGAAGCATGACGACAGCGTCTCCTTTGTGGAAACGACCTTCCGCGAATGCCCATCCAACCTGCTGGAGAACAATCGCTGCGGCGGTGGTGGCATTGTCAACGATTGATACTTCAGAGACGTCATCGGCGTTGATAATGTCCTTGATTAGGGTTCGGGAACGGAGAATTTGGGTAGGTAGTTGGTTGAAGAAGAAATCGTCGGGTTGTTGAAGAAACTTGAGCTGCCACCGTTTCTGGGCTGCGATGATGGAACCTGGGCAGCTGCCGAAGCTGCCGTTGTTTAGACGGGCAACGCCAGGCTGGTGATGGGCGAATTCTTGTTGAATTTGGGATTTAGTAATGAATGATGATAGTTTAGGTTTCTTCGGAAGATGGATATGGTTGCTACTGTCTTCGGGGTCGTCTCCATGGTTTCTAATTTCACCCATTTTTCTCTGTATCTTGTTGCTAGGGTTTCATGTGAAGGGCTGCACTGTTTTGTCAAATTAGCACCAACCGGATGCTTTTCTTTTTCTTTTTGGTTATTCGTTAGGAAAAAAATCCAAAATTTTTAGGAAAAGTTTCAAAAAATTTCTAATTTTTTTTTAATAAAAAGACTGGTTAATGTTTATAATTTGACAATTCATGACCTTTTCAGCATGTCACTTCTCTATGTGGCATGATGTGGCAGGTGACATGACATGTCACATCAGTTTTTTCCTTCCAAGTAAAAATTTAGAAATTTTTTGAAAAAACAAGCAAAGGGTTATGAACCCACAACCCACTTCAACGAAATGAAGTTACCAACCAATTGATCCGGAAGATTCAAGTTTCAAAAGATTTCTAATTTTTTTTTAATAAAAAAACCAGTTAATGTTTATAATTTGACCATTCATGACCTTTTCAGCAGGTCGTTTCTCCATATTGCGTGACGTGGCAGCTGTCATGACATATTGCGTCAGTTTCTTCCTTACAAACAAAAATTTAGACATTTTTTAGAAAATGCAAGCAAAGGGTTACGAACCCACTACCCACTTCAATGAAACGAAGGTACCAACTAGTTGATATGGAAGATTCTTAATCTTTAACTCCTTCACTCCTTTAAATAAACAATAATTCGTGAAGTTTTTTCTTTTTAAAATCATGGTAACGGGTTTCGAACCTGCGCCACATATATATATATATATATATATATATATATTATTAGCAAAAGTTAAAAAATGATTTTTTTAAATTCGTTTTTATGATAATTATTTAATAAATAAATATATAAATACATTTTAAATACATAAAAAAATATAAATTTAATAAATACATATATAAAAAGTATTTATATTTTTTAGATGTATTTATTATATTTTTATGTTTTTTACGTATGAATATTTATTTAAAATGTGTTTATATATATATACTTATTTCATAATATTGATAAAAACGAATT